CCTTCTGAAGGCTCCAGAGAACCCTTCCCTGCCTCTTCCAGCCCCTGGTTAGTAGTTCGTCACATTCCTTGGCTTATAGCTGCATCACTCGATTTCTGCCTCTGTAGTCAAGTGACTGTCTTTGTGAGTCTGTGTCCAGAACTCCCTCCTCTTATAAGGACAGCAGCCATTAGATTTAGGGCCCATACTAATCTTTGTCCTGCAAGGCTCCTATAATATCCATGTAAGGACAAATTCACAGATTCTGAGTGGACATGAGCTTTTGAGGGACACTATTTAACCCAGTACAGTATCCTTGACTCCTCTGTTTCTCAAACCACACATCCAAGCCATCATGAAGTCATGTAAAAATACTTATTTTATTCCTGAGTCTACATGCTTCCCCTGCCATCACAGCTATGACCTTAGTCTACACCACCATCACCTCCTGCAGGAGTTAATTGTAATCGCCTCCCAACTGGTCTCCCTGTTTGCACACTTGCTCTGCCCCCCACTCATTTATGTCATCATCCCCTCCAGCCTGGACCATTTCAGTTCTCCAGCCTCAGCCCGATACAGTCTGTTCTCCACACATTATCTTTCCATATTTTTAAAACAAAAATCTCCTCTTGTCACTTTAGTAGTCAAAACTTTCCAATGGCATTCCACACTTAAAATGCACTGCAGTAATTCTTACAATTTTTGTACATAATCTGGCCCAAATCATGGCTTGACCCAAAATACAATCAGGTTAGCATTTTTGCTATGTAAACATATCCATGGTATAAATACATTTTCTGATATAATTGAACTCGTACTTCAAAGCATATTTTATTGTGACTTTTCCAAAACGATTATGCAGATTTACTTTGATGAATGTAAATTGTTATGTTTAAGCAACCACTTAACTCGTGAGATAAAATTGAGACCTCAGATTATTAGTACAGAAATTCATTTTTCAAGGCAGAAAGCAAGTTACAAGTATCTCACCCAAAATACTACATTTAAACTATCATATATGGTACAGAATTTCTAATTCAAATGAAACAAAAATATATGTCTTCTCTTTAGGACTACTATAGGATTTCTATGGAACTGTTTCAACTCTAGATCTTTTTGCCTCGCCCAAGAGAAAAAAATTAAGTGATTTTACAAAGTGTAGGAACATGGCATGACTTTAATAATGCTTTTCGTTCAGAAAACTTTTAGTAAGTAATTATCTTATACAAATGAAATAAGACCACATTAGTGTTCTGTTTTTGCTGTAACAGACTACCACAAACTTAGTGACTTAAGACAACACAAATTTATTAACTTACAACTCTGGAAGTCAGCAGTCAGCAGGGCTGATTTACAGGGCTGAAATCAAGGTGTTGGCAGGGCTATGTTCCTTCGGAATGTTCCAGGGGAGACCTCTTTTTCTTGCCTGTCTCGGCTTCTCCAGGCTGCCCCTGCCACTTAGCGCCCGGCCCTCATCACTCCAACTTCTGACTTCCTGTCACATCTCCTCTGACTCTCCCGCCTCCTTCGTTCCCATAGAAGGACCTTTGTGATTATATCAGGCCTACCTGGATAATCCAGAATAATCCCCCATCTCAGAATCATCAGTTCAATCACAGCTGCAAAGTCCTTTTTGCCATGAGAAGTAACATATTCACAGGGTCCAGGAATGAGGATACAGACATCTTTGGGGGGCCCTTTTTCTGCCTACGGCAAAAGCTGTCATTAATTTTGACACATACTGTACCTCTTCCAACCTGTATCTCAACTAATTAGTATTCTGTCAGCTAGCTGGAGGCTTGCGTATCCTTAACTAGATAGATTATTAATGTTTGAGATTACCACTGTATTGCTCGTGTGTGGGAGCTAGAATTGTTTATAAAATTTGAGGGGTAAAATCTCCTAAATGAGTAATAAATAATTAAATTAAGCCCTTATTAAGATTAAAGGGGAAGTTTGACCTCACAAGAAAAGTTGATTTAACTGTTGCCAGTACCACTAAATTAATTAGCTAAATACTTCCGAGAATTTCCCCAATTTGTCTGGGTATTGAAGGACATAACATATAGTAAAGTCAATTGTTACTGAATTTGGATATTTCTTCTGTTCTCTGAACACTTAATTTGGAGTCTCTGTTTCCTAGACAAATACTACCAGACATGTCTGCCTCATTCTTCAAATCTCAAAAGTAATTGAATTTGGTAGAGAAAAGAATGCATGACTTCTTTAGGTCGGCTGCCATTATTGGGTATTTCAACCAAGGGGAGAAAAAGAATTTGCTTTGTCCATTTTCCTTTGTTTCTATAGCAGACTCTTAAATTTTGAAATGCAGGTAAAGAACTCAAAATTGTACAATTGTCCCCATCCTCAGAAGGTATACAGGCAAACCTAATGGCATTGCACAAACAGCTCACATAGCAGTGGATTCTGAATCTGATGGGATCAGACCTGGTGTGAAACTGAGCTTGCTGATTGACTTTTAAAGCATTGTACAGAAGAATTCTAGCATGGTTACAGAAACAAGAATACACTTGCTTTCTCTTTGTGCCTGGAGAATGAAAGCCAGCAGGGGTGAAGGGAAGTGCTTCTCTGTTGGAAAGTTCACCTCCTTTTTTGGGTTGCTAGCGTGCTTCAAAAACTACATAAACTGAACTACCAAGCAAAATAGAGACACGCTCATAGACAGAGAGCAGACAGACAGCTTTGTTGGGGAGTCGGGGATGGGGTGGTGGGGAGATTGAGCCAAAAAGAGAGAGAGAACTCATGGACACGGACAACAGTGTGGTGATTGTGGGGGGAAGGAGGAGGTGGAAGAGAGCCTAGAGGCAATAGTGATAGAAAAATAAAATAAAATTTTTAAAAACTACCCCAAAATGTCTAGACCAAAAACTCAATATTTAGCATTACCTCAAGTGAAACATTGAAATTAATTGTAAATAATATTATTTTAACTATTTTGAGCTTTATAGAATAAGATTCAGAAGAAAGTGATTGGTGGGGGTGAAGGGAGGCCTAATGAAATCAGACGGTTCTTTTTCCTCTGGAAATTAGCTTAATGTTTTTTGGGGGGGAGGTCTGAAAATAAGAGAAGATATATTTCCATTTATTGCCTTTTATAGTTCTAACGATGGGTTGGTAGACAAACAAGGGAGAGGTATAAGTGGTCCAGTCTTCAGATGGTTCCAAAAAGCTGTTTGGAAGTTATGCTCACACAGTGTAAGAAGTGTCCTTGTCAGCAAGAAGGCTTAAGAACGACTGTGTTTTATCGATCTAAGGTGCATGGTTGTTCACATTTTAAGTTCCCTAAAAATCAGGTTGTGTTTACAGCTGGTGGCATCTTGCAGCTAATTGGCAGCAGTGTTCTTTCCTAGTGGTCGCTGAGACCGTGCAGCCTCACAGTTTGATGGCATGTTAAACTTGGTGGGAAATAGACGTCGTCATGGTGCTCCACTGAAGTGCTTTCTCAGACACCAGTGTGCTTGGTGATTTCTGTCTTCAGCAAAAGGATGTGTACAGACTTGACTTCCCAGCTCAGTATAGCACATATAAAGGAGCTTTAAGAGTCCCATATACCAAACAAGCATTTAGGTTTGGGGAATTCGGAATTTAAAGATGGAGAAGAAGAAATTTCCATCTGGAAATCTAAGTAGCCAGAAGTGGTCCCTTTGGTGCACATGACTGCCGGTAACACACACTTGAATCACACTGGCCAACCAAAAGCAGCAGATTAACCTCAGAAACGACCTCATTCGGGGTTACAAACAACTTCTGTATACTTTTCTGTTTCTCTGAATTGTCTTTAATGACTAGATAATACTCGTCTGTGTTTAAACACTAAGTGTTACTTAATGGAACACTCCTTGAGTCAAGAAAATAATAGTAGCGTTCTTTTAATGCTATTTATTATCAAATTGTGTACTTGAAGTATGTGCAGCTTATGTCATTTATACCTCAATAAAGCTGCTTTGTTGTTTTTTTAAAAAGAGTCCTGGTTGAAAAGAGAAAAGATGCTCAACATTATTAGTCACTAGGGAAGTATAAAGCAAAACCACAATGAGAAACTATTTCACATCCACTAGGATGGCTAAAATAAAAGTTTTAAAAATTAAAAGACAGAAAATAACAAGTGTTGGTGAGGCTGTGGAGCAATTGGAACCCTCACACATCGCCAGCGGGAATGCAGAAGGATGCAGCCACTGTAGAAAACCGCTCGGCGGTCCCTCAGAAAATTTAACAAAGAATCACCACATGAACCTGCACTTCTACTCTTACATATACACCAAAAAGGATTGAAGACAGGGACTCAAACAAGTGCACATACATGTGTGTCTGTGGCAGTACTACTCACAATAGCAAAAGGCAGAAACAGCCCAAATGTGCATTAACAGGTGCATGGATCTGTTCATACAAACTGTTGTGTAAACACACACACAATGGCATATTATTCAGCCATAAAAAGGAGTGAATTACGGATACAGGCTGTGACATGGATGAATCTCCACAACAAGCAAAGCAAAAGGAGCCGGACACAAAAGATCACATAGTACATGATCCCACTGCTATGTAATATCCAGACTAGATAAATTCACAGAGCCAGCATGCTGACTAGTGGTTGTCAGGGACTGAGGGGAGGTGGCATTAGCAAGACACTGCTTAGTGCTAAGGAGTTTGACTTTGGAATGATGGAAATATTTTGCAAGTAAAACGAATTGGTGGTTGTACAACATTATGAATGTACTAAGTGCCACTGACTTGGTCCCTTTAAAGTGGCTAATTTTGTGTTACGTGAATTTCACCTCAATAAACAAAACAAAAGGTCCATAATACAAAGGAGAAAGTGATTGTGAACTATATTGCCAGAACTTTTTAGCAAGCACATTCCTGCAAATGGTTTTTATTACAGTCACTGGTAGAAATTGACCAATGATTCATTTCTGAATGACCAGGACTATAGCTCACATTCATCCTAGATTTTGGAAGTTCAAAATGAGAAAATTAATTGATATTTCTTGTTCTTTTAGGACTCTCAACTCGTTTCCTCCGGACACAATAATCCAAGTAAGAAAGGCATCTCTCTACAGCTTTATACGTGTAAGGGGGAGGGGGTAGAGGTAGAGGGTGAAGAGGGGCAATGCATGCAATAAACAATAGGTGTAAAATAATTTAAAAACAAAATCAAATGGGGAAAAAGAGGGCCCTTTGTTCAGTTATTTCCCAAAGGCATAAGATTCATGGTGACCTTGAGGGATCCTCTATCTTTTTTCAAGGGAAGGAGGGCCAGAGTATAAAATGGTGGGTGAGTTTCAAAATAGTCATAGGTTGAAGGAACATAATTTTTTATTATAGTTGGTTTCTGGTCTGTGTGGAGGGCAAAAACTTTTTCAAAGACACTAATGAGTTATGTAAATCAAAAGAAAAAATGTGGGCAAAAAAAGAGAACCAATCAGAAGACCTCGAGATTAATGGCCTTAGAATCCATGAAGAAACCAAGCACTCTCTGAGACAGACAGACTCAAGGGTCTAGGAAGGAATTTCCTTATTGAATCCAGTGTCACGTGTTTCCTGGTCAAAGAGAGGATGTTATCATTCCATGAAGTAGTGTTTTCATTCTCTTCTTTGGCAGCACTAATTGTTATTAATGTTTTCTTGAGCATTAAAAAGACACAAGCTATCTCATTCATGTCATGAACAACATCCACAAAGACTGGGCTTTGTTCGTCTAGGACCAGCCAGTCAGCTGAGAGTACCCCGTGCCAATTACAAAGCTGTGTTTGAACATGAAAATCTCTCTGAGCTCATAGATGTGTCTTTGGAACTGAGGCTCACCCACTGAACCTCTGTGAGGGCAGAAGGGTTGGGGAGAAAGACATTCAGACACATGTTAGGAAGCCCCAGACCTCTCGTGCACAGCTGAAGAAAGCTCAGGGGAGGGTGACAACGGACGGATAGCGATGCGTCGGAAATATCACTGAATTACCTCACCCTCTTTGGGAATTTGCTGTGAGCACAGGTACCAGCCAGCAAAGAGAAGGAATGCTCAGGGTCTTGAAATCTAAAGGAAAAAAAAAAAATTCAATAGTAAGAAAAGGATCCAGAAGAAATGCATGGCTAAGTCCATGAGTTGAGGTCTGGCACCCTGTGCCAGACTAACGCATATAGAAAATCGCAACGACTTTCCTTAACTGTGTCTTTCATCTGAACGTAAACAGTTCAGGGCAGAGGAAGGATAAAATAGGTAAATACATGTACCTTCTCTCAGCTTACAGTTTTTTGGAGTTTTTACATTAAGAAGAACAAAAGAAATAAGTGTCAAGTCTCTTCTATGTGCCAGCAGCTTGACATGTGTTATTTCACTTGATTCTAGCAGTAACTGGATGAGACAGGCATTATGGTCCCCATTTTGCACATGATGAAAATGAGATTCTGAGGTTACTAACCAGCCTAGTTTCTAGTGGCTAAAAAAAAAAAAAAATGACAAGTAAAATTTAAATGCAGGGATGTCTGCCCCAAAGACAACAGACTTTTCATCCCATTACCTTGACCCCAAAAAGGATTGCTTCTATTACTTCATTTGAGATTGAGTTCTTGTCCAGTGACTGTGCACTGTGGGTCTTGTGTGCATGCAGCGTGTTTTCCAGCATGCCCTAACATTGACATGCTAAAACTGCGCCCGGGTTATGTGACAACAGACCGCGGTCTGCGGAGTGCGAGGGCACCTGCCTTGTGTGGCATGAAACCCTCTGGCATTTCAGTGCCTAAGGAAATCTGTGATTGGAGTTTTCTTTTCTGGGATAGGGAGATTGTTTTTTTTTATATTTTAAAAAATAAATCCTCCTTGCCTAGCCGGTGTGGCTCAGTGGTTGAGCGTCGACCCGTGCACCAAGAGGTCACTGGTTTGATTCCCAGTCAGGGCACATGCCCAGGTTGTGGGCCCGATCCCCAGTGGGGGGCATGCAGGAGGCAGCCAGTCGATGTTCTCTCTCATCGATGTTTCTATCTCTCTCCCTCTCCCTTCCTCTCTCTCTAACATCAATAAAGAAATACATTAAAAAAATAAATAAATGAATCCTCCCCAAAGGCCAAGCACATCTCTATGCAGGTAGTGTCACTGTTAAAATCTGAGCATTCACGCGCGGCGCAGCTGCAGGGAGCTGGTCCCACCGGCACTGCCCCTGCTGCTCCTTGCATTTGATTTGAAATCCTTACCATGTTTGGAATCGTGACTCTAGTAAATATGTAGAAAATAGAAAGCCCCGAACTTCAGAGAAACCAAACACAAAATATAGATGTGTGGATTGATGAACTGTCCTTCCACTTTAGGTCAATGCTTCTTTTTTTCCCCTGAAATTAGAGATGTTATATTATATAGATACTAAGAGAAAAGAGTAAAAATTAAACATAAAACTATTTTTAATCCAAATTTTTTAAAAGATTGATACTTGAGTCAGTTTGCTGAATCACTGGTTAAGTTTAGAAAATCAAAGCTTATTAAGCATTGCGCATGCCCTGTTTAAGTGGCAGACTGGGCAAGGGCACCTCCCCTCTCATCAGAATAGAACCCCATGTAAATTAGCATAAAATGCTTTGGCTGGTTTGGCTCAGCGGTTAGAACATCGGCCCATGGACCAAAGAGTTGTGGGTTTGATTCCAGTCAAGGGCACGTACCTGGGTTCTGGGTCAATCCCCAGCCCTGGTTGAGGTCATGCAGGAGGCAACCAATTGTATGTCTCTCTCACATCAATGTTTCTCTCTCTCCCGCTCTATCTGAAAATAAATGGATAAATATCCTCAGGTGAGGATTAAATAAATAAATAAATAAATAGATTATCATAAAGTTATAGCAATCAAACTACATCTGTAATAGCACTGAGGACAAAAAAGGATGCATCAACAAACCAAAACCTCAATTGAGTTTCTGGAAAACAGAGAGTAGATAGGACCCTCCTATTAAATAATCATGGACAGGGAAGGTCATGACCCAGAAAAATAAAATAATGAAACAAACAGGAAGAAGCTCTAGGACTGGTGGGAACTGTCCTCAGGAGCTCCAAGAGAGATCCCAGACTTCCGCTCAGCCTCACAGAGAACAGGCGTGGAATGCAGACAGTGGTGGGAACCTGAGTCGTTCTTCCACCTGCGGCCCCTCCACCCCTGTCCTTGCTGGTTCTCATACAGAGCTTTCCATCTGGAGTTCCACCCATCCCCTCAAAAAGAAAACCAAAATAGCAAAAACGGTAATGTTTGCTAAGGAAATGAACAGTTGACTAGAAGCCCTAGTTGGGAGCTGATACCTAAGAGAAAAGTGGCATAGATTCTGAGAAAATACCAGACCTTAAAAGCAGTCTTGTGAGCGGTGGAAGAAGAGTTAACTGTTTTCAAGATGGAAATAAAAAAATGCTACACACACAAAATAAAGCACTTCTTTTTGGGGGTGGGAGGTGATGAGAGGACCAGGGCTCCGGCTTGTCTTGAGGTCTCTCTTCTCCTGAACCCTAAATGAAGCTTTCCAGTTACAAAGATCTCTAAATCAACCGTTTCAGGCAAGGGATGTATGTGTTAGGAAAAAGATCAATATACTAATACAGGAAATCCACCTCAATTACCTTTGTGAACCAACCTGTTATTATTCAAAACCATGAATGTGTAACCAATGACCACCAAAGAGAAGGACTGATTAGGAGGAAATCTATTTAATTCAAAAAACAAAAGAAAAAAAATGTTAAGTATAATTAGTCTAAAGAAACATTTGAAATTATTTGTATTAAAAGGAAAGCCCTGGCTGTTTTGACTCAGCAGTTAGAGCATAGGCCTGTGGACCAAAGAGTTGCGGGTTCGAATTTTGGTCAAGGGCATATACCTCAGTTGCAGGTTCAGTCTACAGCCCCAGTTGGAGTTGTGCGTGAGGCAACTGATCAATGTGTTTCTCGCTCGCTCCCTCCCTCCCTCCCTCCCACTGTATCTTAAAATTAATGGAAAAATAACCTTAGGTGAGGATTAAATAAATAAAAGGAGAGAACGGATTGGTATGAAAAAATCAATAGTTACAGAACAAATGAGCACTTGAGAATTTAAAATATGGTCGACAGAAATGAATAGAAATGATTGGTAATAGCTGAGGATTTGAAGAAGTACTAATCAGACCTCTAGAAATGAAAAAAAGAATAATAGAAATGAAAACTTCCTCAGTCAGGTTGAACAGCAGATTAGATACAGCTGAAAACATTAATGCATTGGGAAATTGAATTTAAGAAATTATCTAAAAAGAAATTTATCTAAAATATTTTGTCTGCAAACCTAGAGACAGAAATGGAGGTTAAGAAACATGGGGGAGCCCTGGCCAGTTTGGCTCAGCAGTTAGAGCGTCAGCCTATGGTCCGGAGAGACCCGGGTTCGGTTCCCGCCAAGGGCACGTACTTCGGTTGCAGTTTGTCCCCGGCCCTGGTTGGTCGTGCGGGTGGCAGCCACTCAATGTGTCCCTTCACGTCGATGTTTCTCTCTCTCTCTCTCTCCCTTCCTCTGTCTCCCTCCCACTCTATCTGTACAAAAAATGGAAAAATATCCTCGGGTGAGGATTAAAAAAAAAAAAGAAACATGGGGGATAAAGTGAGAAAGTCTAACATACATTTAAGTAGGATTTCAGCAAGAGATGAGGGAACAGAGGACATGTTGAGGATAATGGCTGTGTCCAGCTGGTGTGGTTCAGTGGATTGAGCATCGTCCCATGGACTGAAAGGTGCCTGTTCAATTCCTCATAAGGGCACATGCCTTGGTTGTGGACTTAATCCCCAGTAGGAGGCGTGCAGGAGGCAGCCAATCGATGTTTCTCTCTCTCATCAATTTTTCTCTCTTTCTCTCTCCCTTCCTCTTGCTCTCAAAAAGTCAATAAAAATATATTTTTTTTAAAAAGAAGATAATGGATGAAAATTTTTTAGGATTGAAACACACCCACAGATTTTAGAAACCCAATGACTGTTAAGCAGGATAAAAACAAGGAAGTCCACACTAGATACTTTATAGTTAATCTACAAACCACATAGATAAAGAAACAATTCACGAAT